TGATGCGTCCAAACTGTCCGACAAATCGGTGGCCAAAGACGCGACCGATGATTGGCTGCAAATAAAACCGCAAACTTATGGCTCAAACAGTAAGCAACAGAAGCAGCAGAGCGTCGAAAGCAAAGTGACCTCAAAGATCCAGGACTTGAAAGTAGCGGACGACTCATGTAAACGCAAACTGGACTTCGAGGTGACTCAGGACTCGATGTTCAACTCGAGGCCATACGACAAGCGCTTCAAAGCGAGTCAGGCGAGCGAAACACTTCCCCTCAAAAACAGACATTAAAACCCATACTTCCCCTCAAAAACAGACATTAAACCCATTTTATGTCAATTTATGCCATTTTATGGTCATATAAAACATTATTTTATAGAATTTATTCATTAGTTTTACGTTTAGAATAGTTTATAATTAGTTAATAATTAGTTCATAATAAAACTTTATTTAAATTATTTCAATGACTATAAGAATACATACAATTTGACTGAATTTCTGTTTACAGTAATTATCTTAATTTGTTTTGTAAAATACATTTATTCACTAAAATATGTAGAATTCATTTAAAAGAATTAGTTTAAACTCAAACTTAAAAATAAAGCTTTTTATATTGTATTTAAAATATAACTTCAATTTGTCTGTGATTTGTATCGAAATAAAAACAATTCAATTGAATTCAATGGTAATGTATATCGAAAACAGTATTATAACTGTAGCCTATAGAACAGTATGTACGCGGCCTGGGATTTCACTTCAGCCGAATTGATTTGCGTGATCTCCTGGTCATCAAATCGATGCCATTTGTATTTATTGTGGTTCTGCGAGAAGGCCGTGTAGTGGCCGCCCTCGAGGGTCCCGTAATGGTTCACCACTCCGTACAGCGAGTAATGGTAGGGGCTCTGAGTCTGCAGTGTCCGCATCGGCAGGTCGTCGATCGGGAACTCCACATATGTCGACAGTTTCCAACGGCCTTCATATGAAAACCTATCATCAAAATGAATGGTAAGTAATGGCTTATACCGTAATAAGTGAACAATGAATGCAATACCTCTTCAAGTGAACGATTAATACTTTTGGAAGTTTCCAGAGATTAACCTTTTTGTCGGCCTCCCTCTTCTGCTTACAGGTGGGACACTCCCAGGCGGCCTCACCCGACATGCGCTCCGGTTTGAAGTATTGGCTCAAACACTCCGTAAGAGTCGTCCGGTTATTACTAAGAGGTAGTGAAAGACAACTGAACACTTCAAACGAGTTGGAGGTCTTATGACACGTCAGACACGTTAATGTGTTGACAATTAATCCCTCAAAGAGTTGTGTAATAATTGAGTTATTCTTCTGGATGTGTTCCTTCCAGAACTTGTTGGCCGCGACGTTCAGACTCAGCTCTTCGGACACCGCAGTATTGATCACATCTTTGGCCATCGACTCGTTCAGGTCTTCGTGTAGTTTCTCGAATAGCTTTACTAAGAACTCGTGAGAGTCCTGTTGGGCTCCGGCGACGAACCCCTGGATATGTTTACTGACCGCTTGCCTAAAGTCTTTGGCGGAAAGCATTTTGTATGACGAGGGGTAAGCCATTTGTCTGAACAGTGCCGCCAATTCCAGGACTAGTTCTCCATTTGATCCAAACTTTGAATTCTTATTAATCTTAAAGTTTCCGCCAAAAAACGACGAGAACTCTGTTGTATTCAACAGACACTGAATGACAGCATTGGAGAAACAAGTGTTTCCCAAATTGCGGAGTCCTGTGATTGAAGGCCCGGAGCTGTTGACGGGACAGAAGTCGCGCGGTTTGTTGTCTATTAGAGTGGAGTCATAAAAGTTATATTTGGATATTTCGCGATTGAAACCCGGCTTAAGGTTTCGGTCGAACTGTGGAAAAGAGGTCGCAAGCCTTGCTTCGGAGGGGTCTATGCTATCCATATGTCTGCCATTCATTTCCCTCTCCAATAGCTGTGCGATGTTTGGCGACGACAGCGAACGCGAGAGATTGGATGTGACGGACAGTGTGTTTGACGACTTAGTCATGCCTTTCTGTGCCGACGTAATCGGGTTCACAATCCGATGGCCACTGATGTCGCCATTGATTGCGGTGTTGTTTCTCATGTTATTTGCGGTCAAATTGTCGTTTTCTTTATCATCACCGCTTTCATCCACTTTCAAATAGAATCCATTCCTCTTATTTGTACCATTCATGTCGCCGTTTATAGCAATCATCGGATTGTCATCGGGTTTACTGTCAGTCTCGTTGTTGGCCATCAAGTTCTTTGGCTTTACTTTGCGAACGGTTTCAATCAAATGGTTTTTCTCCTGATCCTTAATAATGAGCTGTTTTTTCATACTTTCGATCATATCTTCGTACTCTACTCTCACATCTGACAGCATTTGTTCACTGATTTCGTTCTGCTTTCTTAGTCTTATTTTCTCGAAGTCTTCCTTCGCCTCTACTTTATGGTCAGATGAAGTGTTTATCTCTGTCTGTATCGTAGGTTTCTTGGAGCGGTCCGGGATTAATGGCTTAGCGGTGCCGGGAATGGCAACATTGGTTGGCCTCGTATTAAATATATTGTTCACGCGATTCAGTGGCTCTGCCTGTGGCTGTCCATCACCTTCAATGTCTCCATTCGTGAATCCATTAACCATTTGATTGTCAGGTTTTTTGGGTTTATCGTCAAATTCACTCAAATCGTAATCGAAAGCCAATTGAATAGTTTTGATCGGTTTTACTGGCATTTTGTTTATGTTATAATTCGGATTCGTAGTGAACATGGGATATGTGAGCACCCATTCGGCGTAACCGCCCTTCAAGAGGAATGGCTTGTTCTTCATCTTAAATGATGTGTAGTCCCACTAAACAGTCAATTAAACAATCGTTAAAATTATCTAATTTTGTCACAATATGCTAATCGATGGACACATACCGTGTTAAGGGCTTCTGCTAAATGATAGGCCGGTGTGTTGGGAATGACCTCTTGGGAGTGCTGGTCAACGATCACCACTTTACTCATACTTCTCCGCCGGGAGAACACGTCTTTAGTGATACCAAAGGGTAGTCTCGTTTCAAGCTTAGAGGACGTCAATCCGGGAACCAATAAGTGTTGAGGAATATTAACTATAGTTATGTCTGCAGAGGTCCGCAGTTTATCCATATGCGAGTCGTTATATTCTTCAGCAGCTCTTGTGTCCAAAACTAGGATTTTATTCATTTCTGTCGTATTTTCTAAACTCTCGACTAAATCAAGACAACTAATGAGTGGATAATCGCCTTTACTATTGGATTCAATTGGTTTAGGTTTCGCCGAATCGTTCGTATGATTACTATTGCTATTAATGGACACGTCTTGGGACTCATTGACCACCTCTTTGGCATTCAACTCATTGGCCACTTTGTGGGCGTCGTATCGGTCTCAATTGGTTTAGGTTTCGCCAAATCGTTCGTATGATTACTATTGCTATTAATGGACACGTCTTGGGACTCATTGACCACCTCTTTGGCATTCAACTCATTGGCCACTTTGTGGGCGTCGTATCGGTCCTTAAGACTACTCTGTAGTACTTCCAGACTGTCGAGCACTTCCTTAATCTGTAAATTACTATACATATCATTATAAAACTTCTCATCCTTTTTATAATCGGAACACTTCTTCGCCAAAGAGATGTTTGTGAAGAACCGATAGTATAGTATGAAAGCTCTCTCTTCGTCGCCCTCGAGGAACGACTTCTTCGCCGCCTCATAGAGTTTGGCCAACGATGTCATCAGGCTATGAGTCCATTCATCAAGACATTAGTGTCGTGTCATATACTGTCCACTCATATCATAGTTACCTCTTGGCATTGGATGTCCTGCTGATGCCCTCGTCGGCCTTCTTGAACAATTGATCCATGGTCTGCGAGATGTACAGGTCTTTGAGGACCATCATTGACTTAGTGGGCATTTTGCAGCACTAAATATATGCGGATGTCTTCAGCACTGGTCTAACAGATGACAAGACGTGATACTCGCGGCCATTCACCACACGATCGCATCAAAAGCACATATCTCTGTGTTTTCCTCTAAATTTGTTTCGCATTTAAATCAGTTGTCAAATGAACTGAAAATCTCGTATAAATGGTATAATTATTACGAAATGCTTATTAATAGTAAAATCCGATTACATGTATAATAAATATAATACAAGCAATTATTGTAGATATTATTTGTCGCTACAAATGGTCATCAAAAATGAAATATTTCATTCAATTTAATTGAATTACAAAACATTTTGTAAACAAAACATTCAATAATATTATTGTGCTATTCAATCGAGTTTGTGGTACCCGTGCTGACACCTGGCTCAAACAATTGCCACTTGTATATATGTGTATCATACTGTATATACCTGGGTTATGTAAGCAAATGTTTTAGTTAACTTAATGCCGCTTTATAATAATAATTTATATGCGATTATAGTCTGAATAATTGTGAAATTAATTTGAAAACACGTATAAAACTAATTAATTAAAACGTTTCATAATTTTCAAGTCTATGAATGAAAAAATAGTTATTAAATTAATTTACTATTAAAATTACACATAATTTACAGTAAGTTAGTCTTAGGATTAGGTTTCAAATTGAAACTTGCACTCCAATCCTAAGCATGTTTGTAAAAATCATATAATTAATTAATGATATTTTATAAATAATATTCACCAGAAAAAATATAGCTAATAAAAAATTTATTAAAGTATTTGAATATGTTTTAGTAGAGGTTGTCATTAGAAGTGACTGTAACTAGCTAAATAACTTGGTAAAAACTAGATAGCTGTATTTAACATTTTAAATTTTAAATTAAAAGTATCATTTTAAATTTTTAAAAATAAATACGTTGAGCATTGTAAATTAGAGTAAACTTACTAAATAAATCCAATAGTTACAATGTGCAATATTTATATAATGCTTGAAATTGATTTTAATGCATGAAAATTAAATTCATTGCAATTCATCGGAATTTTATGTGAAAATTATAATACATTTTATGGTTAAGAGATTTAATTATTTATTTTCACGTCTTGTTTGTCGTTCGTATTTAAATGATAATAGACTGGTTTTGGCCTAATTTTGATGCCTTTTGTATTTTGTGATGTTTGTAATCAGTCTATACGATAATACAGTGATGAGACAAATACTATTATTATGGAATTGAGTACAGAATACTGCCATTGTATTCACATTCACTATTAATTGTATTTCGATAAAATGTTTTACTAAATTAAATTATTGTTTTATTTATAGAATTATTTATTTTATATTAAAATACTTTTCTACATTTTATTTGTAAGCATATTTTTATATAAAATTAAACTCTAATATTAGAAATTCAAAATATTTGTTGAAATTGTTATACAATATTTTAACTGCATTGATTAGTAACTATTTATTGATATAGAAATAAATATGTTTCTCTGTTTAAACTATTTCTTATTTTAAAATTTATAAAATATAAACAATAATAACAATAAGGGTTTAACCATTTTAATGTATAACTTGCATAAAAATTAACATTTTATTGTATAATATATGAAGTTTATAACCAAAGGGTATTTCCAATTTTATTCTATATGTAAAGAAAATACTGTATGTTTTGTGAGATCTGATGGTCTGAGTGTTGACTTCATCTCTTAAGTCCAATATATGTTTGCCTTAATATTTGAGATTCACTTCTATTCGTTTGACTCTGTTTTCAATGAATTTGAGAAAAAATGATTGAAATGTGAAAATCTTGTGTGATTTGCAGAGCAAACATCTCTTTTGCTTTAAATATACTATCAATTGTTATATATAGTGCCGATCTGTTTGTCAAATATCAATTGGTTTAGGTTTCGCCGAATCGTTCGTATGATTACTATTGCTATTAATGGACACGTCTTGGGACTCATTGACCACCTCTTTGGCATTCAACTCATTGGCCACTTTGTGGGCGTCGTATCGGTCTTTAAGACTACTCTTTAGTCCTTCGAGACTGTCGAGCACTTCCTTAATCTGATAATTACTATACATATCATTATAAAACTTCTCATCCTTTTTATAATCGGAACACTTCTTCGCCAAAGAGATGTTTGTGAAGAACCGATAGTATAGTATGAAAGCTCTCTCTTCGTCGCCTTCGATGAATGACTTCTTCGCCGCCCCATAGAGTTTGGCCAACGATGTCATCAGACTATGAGTCCATTCAAACACATCCATCAAGACATTAGTGTCGTGTCATATAATGTCCACTCTTATGATAGTTACCTCTTGGCATTGGATGTCCTGTTGATGCCCTCGTCGGCCTTCTTGAACAACTGATCCAAGGTCTGCGAGATGTACAGGTCTTTGGGGCCCATCATTGACTTAGTGGGCATTTTTGAGCACTAAATATATGCGGATGTCTTCAGCACTGGTCTAACGGATGACAAGACGTGATCTGAGGGCCATTCACCACAAGATCGCATCAAAAGCACATATCTCTCAGTCTTTTCCTCAAAATTTGTTTCACATTTAAATCAGTTGTGAAATGAACTGAAAATCTCGTATAAATGGTATAATTATTAAGAAATGTTTATTAAAAGTAAAATCCGATTAAATGTATAATAAATACAATGCAAGCAATGATTGTAGAAATTATTTGTCACTACAAATGGTCATCAAAAATAAAATATTTCATTCAATTTAATTGAATTACAAAACATTTTGTAAACAAAACATTCAATAATATTATTGTGCTATTCAATCTCATTTGTGGTACCCGTGCTGACACCTGGCTCAAACAATTGCCACTTGTATATATGTGTATGATACTGTATATACCTGGGTTATGTAAGCAAATGTTTTATTTTACTTAATGCCGCTTTACAATAATAATTTATATGCGATTATAGTCTGAATAATTGTGAAATTAATTTGAAAACACGTATAAAACTAATTAATTAAAACGTTTCATAATTTTCAAGTCTATGAATGAAAAAATAGTTATTAAATTAATTTACTATTAAAATTACACATAATTTAAAGTAAGTTAGTCATAGGATTAGGTTTCAAATTGAAACTTCCACTCCAATCCTAAGCATGTTTGTAAAAATCATATAATTAATTAATGATATTTTATAAATAATATTCGCCAGAAAAATATAACTAATAAAAAATTTATTAAAGTATTTGAATATGTTTTAGTAGAGGTTGTCATTAGAATTGACTGTAACTAGCTAAATAACTTGGTAAAAATTAGATAGCTGTATTTAACATTTAAAACTTTTAAATTAAAAGTATCATTTAAGAAAATTTTTAATAAATACGTTGAGCATTGTAAATTAGAGTAAAATTACTAAATAAATCTAATAGTTACAATGTGCAATATTTATATAATGCTTGAAATTGATTTTAATGCATGAAAATTAAATTCAGTGCAATTCATCGGAATTTTATGTTAAAATTATAATACATTTTATTGTTAAGAGATTTAATTATTTATTTTCACGTCTTGTTTGTCGTTCGTATTTAAATGATAATAGACTGGTTTTGGCCTAATTTTGATGCCTTTTGTATTTTGTGAGGTTTGTAATCAGTCTATACGATAATACAGTGATGAGACAAATACTATTATTATGTAATTGAGTACAGAATACTGCCATTGTATTCACATTCACTATTAATTGTATTTCGATAAAATGTTTTACTAAATTAAATTATTGTTTTATTTATAGAATTATTTATTTTATATCAAAATACTTTTCGACATTTTATTTGTAAGCATATTTTTATATAAAGTTAAACTCTAATAACGTTATTAGAAATTCAAAATATCTGTTGAAATTGTTATACAATATATTAACTGTAATTTTAACTTAATTGATATAGAAATAAAAATGTTTCTCTGTTTAAACTATTTCTTATTTTAAAATTTATAAAATATAAACAATACTAACAATAAGGGTTTAACCATTTTAATGTATAACTTGCATAAAAATTAACATTTTATTGTATATGAAGTTCATAACCAAAGGGTATTTCCAATTTTATTCTATATGTAAAGAAAATACTGTATGTTTTGTGAGATCTGATGGTCTGAGTGTTGACTTCATCTCTTAAGTCCAATCTGTTTGCCTTAATATTTGAGATTCACTTCTATTCGTTTGACTCCGTTTTCAATGAATTTGAGAAAAAATGATTGAAATGTGAAAATCTTGTGTGATTTGCAGAGCAAACATCTCTTTTGCTTTAAATATACTATCAATTGTTATATATAGTGCCGATCTGTTTGTCAAATAATTTATCAAATATTGAATAATAAATACTTGATGTTTGAAATAACATTTTTCATTTATTATTAATAGTTGTTTATTATTATAATATTTGGGCATTTCTGATCATATTGTTGATATTTCCAATAAGTTTGAAGTATTACTTACTGTAATAATTTTCCAAATGATTGAAATTAAATAAAAATATTGATGAATTAACTTAAAATTCTTACAGACAATAAATAAATAAATATACAATGTATAATATAAACTTATATAAAATAAAATTAGGAAAGTGTCTAGGGCATTTCCTATAGTTTTATTGATTGGCAATCACTATTTTATTTTTATTCATATGATCAATATAGTGTCTAAAATGTTTAAAATATAGATTAAGGTTGATTTTGAAATTAATTTTTTATTACAATGATTAAAAATATTTAAGTCACTAGTTAATCCTTAATTTAAAGTCAACCCTTTTAAGAAATATCTGAAAACAACTTAAATTCTTATAAATGTTGTTATTATATAAATTACATTTAAGTCTAAAATTACAACAACCAACATAAATTATAAATTTGATTAAGTTTAAATATTTGTAAAAATATTTCAATTGTTTTACAATAGAATACATTTGTTAAAAATAAATTAACAACATTTTAACGAAAATATTTTTAAT